AAAAATTTAACTTACTCCGCGCTTTGCTGTGCAGCAAACCAAAATGAAAATTCATCATGCGAGCATTGCAGGATGATTTGTTGTCCCTGGTGAACTGGAACGCTCTCAGGAAGATAGTAAACAGCTTGCATCCAATGATCTCGCCAATGCGCTTCCTCTTCCAACCATTTTGGTGCTGTAGTTAGCATACAGCGACCTCAAAATAAATCAATAAATTAATTTTTAATTTTTTCGATTAATTTTTGATTATTTGTGGCGCCGCTTGGAAAAACTCATAATTCATAGTTTCGTTCTTCAGTTATGCAGCTGGCAAATTTTCCAATTGCTTTGACCAGTGTTTCATGGCCTGGTGATCAATCTGCTAGTGATTTAGACGTTTGTTTTATCGTCTGCAGGAATTACCATCTCAACGATTCTTTTGGTAAAAGGCTTAAAAATTTTACACTCTAAAGCTTAAAAATTTTCGAGGCTTAAAAATCATGAAAAAGCTTAAAAATTTTCGAGATTCTTTCACGGTTTTTCACTATATCTCAGGATTTTTTACGCTACCGGCTTCCTGCACTACAAAAAAGCAATCAGAAAAGCCAATTACATATAAATATCATATTTTCTAACAGTGCTGTCATCCATAAGCTATGTAAATTTTTCTAATTTTTATCGGCTTTTTGTGTGTGCTTATGAAGTGCTTTGAATTTTTGTTGCTTACAAGTCCGATTTCATTTTTTTTCACGAATTATCTAAATAAATTAATAAGATGAAAATAAAGGTCGAAAAAAGCCCAGCCAAAATTGGTAATGCCGAGCAGGGTTGACAAGAAGGTTGTAGATGTAAAGTAGAGTTATGCAGCCGTAGATTGGCCGAAGCTTACTGTATGAATTAGTAGGCCATGCTAATTGAAGGAAATCCAGCATTGCTGAATTTATTTTAATTTTAGTTAAAATATGTTTATGAAAGATTGTAAAGAAGTAAAAAAGGGGAATTTGAATAAAATAAGATTAAAATCTGAATGGGAATGTTTCGGTCCATTGTTGAATACCTGGCGATTTAAGACAGAAAGGATGGAATTTTGGTTTAATATTTAACGGAATTTAGTCTAATATTTAACCAAAAAATAGGTAAAAATATAATTAATTATCTAACTGAATAATTATTTTAGAGGCATAAATAAATACTTCGGGAGACAAATTGAATTCAACAACTCACCAGTGCCATCCATATCAAGATCCCACCACATTATCAGCGCCTCAAATGTACCGGACGATTGCGCTTCGAATGTTTTGAATGCTGTTTCATAATAAGTGATTGATGGACCATCCTCGAAATTAAAACTGCAAAAAACTGATAGAAAAAAAATCACAAAAATCTGGGCTTTTCCCAATATTTTTTATTTTATTTTTTTTTTTGAAAAAAGAACCTAGCAAATTACCCTGGCATAATCGGTGAAAAAAAAAGAAGGTAGAAAAGAAGAATTATTTACTTCTCTCACGGCGTTAAAAAATGTTATAATCGATCAAGCAAGTAAAAAAAATGCAAAAAATCGAGCCAACTGGATGGATAGACACAACGAATAGCCTTTACCAGAATTGTCAAATTTATCAAAACTCTTAGACTTATTCCACTTGTCTTAAAGAATTTTAAACTTTTCTAAAACTGGAACAGCTGACAGTTCGCAATCTAATTTTCAACCTATGCAGCTGGCAACTTTTCCACTTATTTTGGCCGAGGCCGAGGTACTGCCAAGTGGTCAGCTTCCTGGTGATTCTGACGCTAGTTTCGTTCCTTGAAGACCCCTTGAAGACCACTACCCCGAAAATTTTCCCAAAAAAGACAAAAATTTCATCAATTCAAGATTTTTTAGTAGTAAATGCCGTCCCGAACGCTATCGCTACCATTTTTACGCCCTGATGAGGTACGTTATAAACTTTTAGCTCGCAATCTAATTTTCTATGCAGCTGTCAACTTTTCCACTCATTTTGGCCGAGACCGAGGTATAGCCAAGTGGTCAGCCTGCTCGTGATTTTGACGCTAGTTCCACCTCCTCAAGGGTGATTATCCTAAAAATTCCTCCTAACGAGGCAAGAATTCCATTTTTTCAAGTTTTTTTTTAGAACGCATCGAGTATCAAAGATTGTTCCCAACGCTACTACTGCCACTCGCACGCCTTGATGAGGTACTGTATAGATTTTTTTTGAAAATTTTTTGATCAGTATAAATACCTGAACGCTATAAAAGGCTCAGCAAGCAGGCGAATTTTTTCCGGTGGTATTTCAGAAAGTTGAATATCCTGAACTGCTGCTGCACCAGGACAATTCAGACAAGTTGCTGCAGCTTTGAGATCACTGGTAGAAGGTGGCCGATGAAAACGCATGAGGAAATCGCTCTGCACTGGTGCCACCCAAATTCGAGCTGCTGCTGGTATTACACGACAGCCAGGCTTAAAAAAATAACACTTGACGATTATCCCAAAATCTGTCAAAAAAATTGGATTTTTACATCAAAAAATTTATTTCTGCTTTCTAATATTACAAAACTGAATAAATCTGAAAAAAAAACATGAAAAATTTGCATACCATTTTGGAATTCCCAAAATTTTAGAAATTTTTTGAACTTTTCAGCGACCCTGGAATTTCCGGGAGTTAAAATAAGTGGCCAAAAAAAGCAGAAAAGAGAGAAGTGGTCAAAAAAAAGTTGCAAGAATTCCAAAATACATAAAAAATTAAATCTCTACAAAATAGATTGCGCAAATGCGGGTGTTTTTGAGTAGATAGCTCTTCTCAAAAAAAAAAAAATCAAAACCTTTGCCAATGTTTGATGTGCTTCCTTGAATGTACGCAGGGCTCCCTCACCAATCAATTCGGTATCAAAAACTTCAGCCACAATTACATTTCCTTTATCTTCATCAGATACTGTAAAAAAAGCAGACATTTTATTCAAAATCACAGTTAC